ATGCTGCGTGCAGTTGCAGACGTAATCGGGTCTCTGAGGCAGTTGAAATGTATGGACAAATACCACAACACGATTCGGGATATGATCGTTTGTACAAAATACGCCCAATACTCACGGCAGTAAATAGGAAATTCAAAAAGTTTCCAATGTGAGCAAGATTATGTGTTGACGAGCAGATCTGTGCGACGAAAATAAAGCACTATATGAAACAATACATGCCAGATAAGCCACACCCATGGGGTGATAAATTATTCCTACTGTGCGATGATTCCGGATTTTGCTACGGATTTGAAATTTATTCCAGCGATGACGGCCACCGTCAAGACAATGAACCAAACTTGGGTGCGTAAGGCATCTATTCGCTGCTTTATTTCACGGAATTGATGTTACAACTGTGGCTTGGAATGACAATAAAGTTGGCAACACGGCTTCAACAATGGCTGGAATAAAGCCTTATCTTGCGGTCAATGGTGAACGCCTGCGAATGCACCTACCATTGAACGTTACAACAAAAAGAAAAAAATTACAGGGAGCATTCAATGTCCAAACGTTATCCACGAGTGTAACAAATACATGGGCGGCGTTGACCTTTTGGATTTGTCACTGGGTCGTAGTCATATTCGCATAAAATCACGAAAGTGGACAAACTGATTATTCTACCACATGTGTGATATGGATATCATCAATGTCTGGATGTTATTTAAGCGGACACCAATCACACTGAGCCCAAGATGGTATTGCACGAATTTGTGTCAGAAGTTGCCCAGTGCCTTACAAAATCTGGTACTGATATGAAAATTGGAAAAGGTCGACGAACAAATTTGGAAGTAGAAATATCTGCAAAACGTCAACACCCCATGTCTGGTCCGCTACCACCACGTGACATTCGCCTAGATAACGTTGGGCATTTACCAGAGTATRTGAAAGAGGGAAAGCSGCGATGTAAGAATCCCAATTGCACATCTCGTACAAAAGTACGATGTCGAAAATGTGGAGTATATTTGTGTTTTACACCAGAAAAAAACTGCTTTGCTGTATTTCACCAGAATTAAAGCCAATAATAATAATAATAATATCCAACAATTACCCTCCTCCCGCCCAACCGACGCGAGGGGCGCAATCCGCGAACGAGCGGAATTAGCCGAGTCATAATAGGCAAGGCAGTTTTAAGCGTTGCGATCTTAAGCTGCCAGCTACAGAAACAAAAATTTCAACAGCTAAAACTAAGAATTAGATTAAAGTTTATAATTTTTAAATGTTACKTGTTAAGAGTAGATAAAATAATTCTTTTAATGGTAAAGAGTGAATCTGTTAGATCAAATGTGCTGGAATGAGAATTGAAATCGTGACATATACAGCGGAATGGTTCG